GACTAATTTGTGTCTGTACCGTGAGGCTTTTAGCGCTGCACTATTGATTGATTAAGATTATATTACAGTGTTGTAGAATATTATGAACAAGGTAGATATTGCTTTTACTTTTTTTTTTAGCATTCATGTATCTGCTGCAGAGTAAACAGCGGTAGAAAACCATTGAATTCTGAACCTTCTGAGTAAATCTTCAACTCTGCAGCATAAAACTATGTGAGGTTGGATATTCCTGATGCTGCCCTGTGCCTGGACACTGCAAAATTCCAAATTGGTACTTTATATTTTATTTGGGGATGTTACAGTATGACAGGTACTGTGGTGAGATGGCGGTTGTGACTGGTGCTGTGGTGGTGGGGGGTGGCAGATGATGTGATGGGTAGCAGGGTGGTGGACAGTGATAGATGCTGTAGTGAAAGGCTGCTGTGTTGAGAGAAGGGGTATAGGTTTGTGATAGGTGATTTCTGACATCACAATATGGGGAGTGGCCAGTATAGACTGACCGCTAGCGCACAATCTCACTGCAGTACTGATGGCTGCTTTGCAAGAGCACTCAGCATGCTGTGATGGGAGTGGGGATAGGGGTTTGGGAATTTTTTTATGAGATGGGGATTTTGACTGGTGCTGGCATGTGGTGGGGTGCTGTGCTGAGTGGGGGGATGTGAGCTGTGGCAGAAGCAGTGGTATAAGAGGGGGAGAAGGTTGTAAGGCACAAAGATGGGACCCCCTCTAACCACTGTGCCTTACAACCCCCTGCCCATCTCAACACAGCTGCTACCACAAAACCTCCCACCCAGCACAGCAGCCCACCATCACCTGCCAACACTGCTCACAACCTCCATCTCATCTATCACAAACCTCTACCCCCACTCTCACCTCAGCACTATGTGCATGCATGCTTCCGCAAGGCTGCCATCAATACAGCAGTAAATTCCCCCGCATGTAAGGAAGTAATGAGTCAATTCTGGCACTACTGCACATGCACAGGATCTTATCACCATATTGTGTTGTCAGAAAGAGGACGGCAAATTCTCGTGCTTGTGCGGTAGTGCAAGCTGCTATATTGCTGTTAAACCCGGATAGAACCTTGACGGGAACCCTGAGGCCATCTTGGAGAAGTCCAGGGGGATTAACTAATCTGTTCTTTCTAGCTATAAATATTTATTTATACTAAACAAATGTGCTATAACTATAGGATATGATGTAGAACATTCAACCCATATTTGCATTGTTAGGTAACCACACGTAGCAATCACATTATAAGCTTTCCCGTTCCTTTTGCTTTTACATTTTTTTTTAAATAAAAACAGACAAAGCAACCGAGTGGCAGCATTACAAAGAATGATTGAACTATACTGAGAATACAATGGTATTGACACTGATCTCCACGATTTTCAGGGAATGGACCATCGAGGATGTGTGATCTGAGTTTAATTGTGTATAATCATTGTGGACAAGGAATGTTGACTTTGTCACTGTGCTGATTTCTCACTCTTACACTTAGAGATAACAGAATAAAAAATCAACTATTTGAACAATCTGTACTTTTCCACACTTGTTTTACTGCAGGCAGAAATTGATGAGTGATAATTTGACCTGTGTGTGTATTTCTTTGCCCTGTGACTAAGCAGAAATTTGTTTCCATAACTCGGCATACAAGTAATATGTTGTCATCTGTGTAGTATTTGGAGCATAGCATGCAGAATAATCCTAAACTAGGATACTGGTATAGTAGGAAGGATTGTAACTGATTACACAATATATTGTAGAATTCACTCCTTCATTATTTATTTCCTGTTACATGTTACGAGGCAGCACAGAGCCGGGTATACCAACTGCTTCTACTGGGTGAAGGAATGCATGGAGAACCCCTTACCTTACAATGAGTGATATTAGAGCATTCCAATTCTCATTATTCTTATTCTTATTTCAATTCCTAATTTAATTCCTACTTGCCCACTAGGGACTTGCCATTTTCCATAGACAGTGTCACCAATGAATGGGCAATATTACATTGGTCAACCAGAGACTGAGCTACTGTATGTTCTCTTTTTTTTTTTTTTGTATAATCAAATGCTAGGTCACTATCATACTCTCAAGACAGTTTGTGGACTT